CGCCATTCTCCTGCCTCAGCCTCCTGAGTAGCTGGGACTACAGGCGCCCACCACCACCCCCCGCTAATTTTTTGTTTTTTTGGTAGAGACGGGGTTACACTGTGTTAGCCAGGATAGACTTGATCTCCTGACCTCGTGATCCGCCTGCCTCGGCCTCCCAAAGTGCTGGGATTACAGGCGTGTGCCCGGCCTAATTTTTGTGTTTTTAGTAGAGACGGGGTTTTGTCATGTTGGCTAGGCTGGTCCCAAACTCCTGACCATAGGTATTCTGCCCATCTCTGTCTCCCAAAGTGCTGGGATTACAGGTGTGAGCTACCATGCCCAGGCTTTTTTAGATACTGATTGTCTTCACCCAACCCAGCTTATTTCTTGGAGACACATTGCTGGTTAGCCAATCAGATGCTGCCATTGAGGGTAAAGCACAGAAATAATTTCTGCCCTCTGTATTCTCTAAGATTTGTGAAAGAAAAAATAGTATCCCCAAAGACAAAAAACCCAAACACGACCCCAGTGAAATGGTACAAGAACTTGCAAAGTAAAAAGCACCTGGGGCACTCACTGAGGCACAGGGCAGTGTCTCCTGAGAGGGTGGTCTTTGAGAACTTAAGCAAGATGGAGTGGGAGAATCAAGTGATTAGATGGCCTGATTTGACACGTGAGTCAGACACATTTGTTTCCTTATTAGTACTGCCGCTCGTTAGGTTTGTTACCTTGAGAAAATTTATTCACTTATTTTGACATCAGCTTTTAAACTGTAATTGGCATTTTATTAGTAGGACTTAAAAGGTAAGAAAATGTTCACAAAGGGCATCAAAGAGGTGGGTTTCAGAGTAAATTAATATCTAATTTCATACTCCATTTGTTAACAATTCTCATTTACCTTTTTCTTGCCCAGAGTGAGTTCTGGAATTTTCTCAGGTGTGTGTGTCTTTTTTAAATGGCTGGGTGATTACAAACAGAATTCCAAGACTTAGCTTTTAGAATGCTACCAAGGAAAAGAATAGAAAAAATGTCTTTCATTTTGACTGCAGAAAATAAATACATTTGCACAAGAAAATGTGGTAAATAATTGGTGAGTTTCATAGATTTATTTAAACATCACTTCCTCTTTTGGCAGAGTAAATTTGTGACACTGACTATGTTTTATATCCTATCATCTTGATTTCTGAGATTTATGCTAAATTTTATGAGCTGAAACTTGGTACTCCTAGAAGTGTTGCCATATAATTAGTTGTTTACTACATAATTTTTATTTTATTTTATTTTGAGACAGTCTCGCTCTGTTGCCTAGGCTGGAGTGCAGTGGCACAAGCTGGACTCACTGCAATCTCTGCCTCCCAGGTTGAAGTAATTCTCCTGCCTCAACCTCCCGAGTAGCTGGGACTACAGGAGAGTGCCACCACGCCCGGCTAATTTTTTCTTTTTTTTGTATTTTTAGTAGTGACGGGTTTTCACCGTGTTATCCAGGATGGTCTCGATCTCCTAACCTTGTGATCCACCTGTCTCAGCCTCCCAAAGTGTTAGGATCACAGGTGTGAGCCACCGTGCCTGGCCTACTACATAATTTTTAATAGAAATAATAATGGGTTTATTTTCTGAGAGGAATATATACTTTTGCATTTCTTATTGAGGTATAAAATATAACTGTTGGCCGGGTGTGGTGGCTCATGCCTGTAATTCCAGCACTTTGGGAGTCCAAAGCAGGCGGATCACCTGAGGTCAGGAGTTCAAGACCAGCCTGGCCAACATGGTGAAACCCTGTCTCTACTAAATATACAAAAATTAGGCGTGGTGGTGGGTGCCTGTAATCTCAGCTACTCAGGAGCCTGAGGGAGGAGAATCGCTTGAACCTGGGAGGCAGAGATTGCAGTGAACTGAGATTGTGCTACTGTGCTCCAGCCTAGGCGACAGAGCAAGACTCTGTCTCAAAAAAAAAAAAAAAAATTCTTATATTAACACCATGTTTGAGTAATTTTGCTGGATTTTTTCAAACAGTTTCAAAAACCAAATGAATAACTGACATGGAATAAAGGCTTGAGCCCAGTGACTTCAAGCTAAGGCTAATATTGAGTCTGCAAAAGGAGGTTATTAAAGGCCCAGTTAGTTCTTTCTGGGGAGCCGCCCCTGCAGATGTCCCAGCTTGCTCACCCCAGGCATGGAAGAAGGCTTTATACTGAGAGAAGCTACAGAGCCCTGGAAAGCTGGGGACCCACATGCAGATGCAGTTAAGGTTAAAATGGAAAAGGAATGGGAGGGTCTTACTGAAAATAAAGTTGTTATTTTGAGGCAGTTTCTAGATTTTGTAAAATAAAACAAAATTAGGTTTATGTTAAAACATTTGAATTTTAAAAGAGTATTGCAACAGAAGGAAGTACCAACTATAAAA